TTTTTTTTAGAGATGCAAGATCATAAATTTATACCACGTACATTTATCAGTTATTTGAAAAAAATTGCATGTCACACCTTAAACGCCTTTTTAGGTGAATATCTATAAAATATTAATTAGAACATTAGGTATAAAATGTAAAATGTCCGAACATTCAATGCACTCTTGACTACCTACTGATATGTGATACTGTAATCAAATATGTAAAATTCAGTACCTACCAATGAAATTTAGGTGTATACGAAAAAGATAAAGTCAGTGGAATTTCGTACTGGACGATCTCTGGGGTCTAATTATGTAATAGTTAATCGTTTTTAGAATGCGATGATTCAATAACATAATCTGGCGTATGACTATTTAAAAAAATATGTGATAATTATTTACTTAATAAATGCATCATATTAAATATTATGATGACATAAATTAAGCCGATAAAGAACTATAATCATCACACAYAATGGACGTAATTAAATCTTCTCATCTATTAGCATTTTAGGAGATTGAAGGAATTTATTTTAATTTTAAAGACAGATTTTGATTCATTGACAAGTTTAGTATACATTTGAAATCAAGTCATGATATTATTTATTTTTCAGCTTAATATCAATTAATATAAAAATGTAATTTTTCTTCTTAGTCTTAAATATATCAACCATACAGTATTAATGTATAATAATATCAATTCATATAAAATAGCACCTATTAAAAATAATCCTACCACCAAAATACAGTCAGTCATATTAATTTGTCTACATGTTTCACCTTAAATCACGACCAACTGCCGTTCCGTTAGCAATACAAACACAACTTGAGATATATTTTGCTTTGCGATTATAATAGTTTGTAAATAAAATCTTAACTAACCTATTGTGGTTTTAAGTCTTATGGCACACATGATGAAATCGTCGAACATTATGTATCCTTTTTTGTTCGCATACCGATGACACATCGTGTTTATGGTTCGTGTTTTAATATGGTAACCTACCAAACTTAATGCTGGTCTAAGTTCAAATCCTTTGATATAACCTTTGTTTTTTTTATCGTATGTTTTAAAAACAACCTAAAACAAAAAATTAAGTATATATTTCTAAAAACTTAATAAAAGTCCATATAAATGTATAGTTCTATATAATTACTCACTTGCCATTGCCTAATGTCAACCCATAATCTTTGGAATTCTTTAAATCCAAGTTTACCTGATCTATCCCAATCCATCATAGCAATCAAGCAACGACATACGTCATTTGAAAATTTTGTATTCCCAGTATCTATCAATTATATTTTCTAATTATTAACGATGTGTTTAATTTAATAAAACAATCAATACGTTGATGGAGATTTTA